TTGAAGTCAGATCAAGTCCAATGTCGTCAATGTAAATGAGGAACAGAAGGGGGCCCAATATACTACCTTGAGGGATACCACAGTTGATTCGAAGTGGATTTGATTTTTCCCCACCAACTACTGTTGTGATTTGACGATTGAGTAAGTAATCTTCGAACCATCCAACCAGTTCGACGCATACACCCTTTTTCCTTAATTTATATAGTAAGCCTTTATGCCAAACTTTGTCAAAGGCCTTTTTAAAGTCAAGAAAGACAACCTCAATATTTTTATCAGCAGCTCGATCCTCATATATTGAGTGCACAAGCTCTACCAGTTGATGAACAGTTGAGTGTTTCTTTCGAAAACCAGACTGAAAAACTGATAGAAGTTTGTTCACACTTAAATATTCATACAGTTTCTTATAAACAACTTTCTCGATGACCTTTGACAGAGCGGGTAATAATGTGATTGGACGATAGTTATTAGGCAACCTTCTATCTCCATCCTTAAACAAAGCCGTAACATAACCCGACTTCAAAGACTCAGGAAAAGAGGACGTTAAAATTGAGGTACGACATAAGTGAGCAACGTCTTCAGCAATAATTAACGAAGACTCGCGCAACAAACGATTATTCACGCCTGGTGCGGTTGCTTTATTGATATCTAATCGAGATAAAATGTTTTCAACCTCTTGGACAGAAACATAAAATAATGGAAGCGAAGCATGAGCGTCTGCGATATTGTTGGCTGGAATCCTAGTATTATATTCTGAGATTGGCATAGAACATACAGAAGCGAAATGTTCATTCAACAACTGAGCCTTTTCCTTGTCATCATAAACTAACCGAAGGTTAGCATTTTGAAGGACAGGTACAGATGATGTATTGGCTCTGCGTAGGTTGTGTTTAACAAGTTTCCACTGCTGCTATTAACTTGATTAATCCTCTTAAAATGATCCGCTTTCGCCCTACCACATGCTTTGTCAAAGTGTTTTTGAACTTGTTGATATCGTTGTTTACTGATTAGAGAACTGTTGTGTTTGTACTGTCTAAAGAGCTTATTTTTTAGTCTGTACAAATCACGCAATTCTTCCGTAAACCAAGGTTGATCTCTATTCCGTATCTGGATATGTTTGTTCGGAATGGTTTTATGCGCTACATTCAGAATAGAAGTCAACAACAAGTCACACTTTGATTGAATATCAGAATTATAAAACTTTACTGCATTGCTGTTGAGTTCTTTCATTAAAAGATAGCGGTNATCTACGCTTGACTCAGTTCTGTAGGACAGAACCAATAATACATTCCCAACCCCAGCAATGGTGAGAGCTAAAAACATTGTTTCGAAGTTTTTGTTATCAAATTGAGAAAGGCGAGTGGAGATAACATCATTTCGTGTATAAAGTAAACACCCACCTGCTCTTTTATCTCTATCGAGTCTATGCCCAGAATAGTTTAAAATGTTTATATCATCATCCTTTATCGTTTGATCTAACCAAGATTCTACTATTGCAACCGCAAGGGGGGTTTCTTCAGCCATAAAAATTTTCAGTTGATCAATTTTTTTCAATGTATTTTTATCTTTCTGTTTCTCTCGAACGGCGGACGCTAGTAAACTACGTATATTCAGAAGTACTATAGAGTGTGTGTTATTGCTCTTTTTTGTTATTTTAGTTGACATCATAGGGAAAAAAATAAAATTTCAGCAATAGAAGGCCCGTCAACCCGTCGTTCTTAAAAACAATAGAGAAAAGAAGTATGCAGTTATGTTGTAAGAAGAAGAAAGAATTGTGATAAAGAAGTTGTGCGTTTATACCGAAGTAGAATGTAATGTACAAAAGAAAAATATGTGCGCAGGTCATTGTGTACTAATACCGTAAAGACAGAGAGGCCCTCAAGATAAAAACATAAAGTGTGAAAAGCACTGTTTGGCTATAAGTTTAGAAAACGCTATCGTCTCATTTTATTTTCAAAGCTACTGCTAAAAATTTCCAAACCACTACTTAGTTCTTACTCGCATCATTGGTATTATTTAGTATTATTTAGAACCGAAATATCTTGCTGAGATGTTGAGATAAATTCATCTGAAGTTGGAATTATTTGATGGATTGTTTTGTTTTGTTTAGGTGCAATATCAGCCATAGTTATTTTCCGCAAGGATTTGTCAGATTGTTTTTGATAGACATGACCGTTTCTTGTCACAATTGATTTTTTTTCAGCATCACTAACCGAGTTACGTGCAGCGTGAAATAAAGCTAACGTACGTTTAGTTAAATCTTCGACAACAAATATTTTTGAGTTCTTTTGTTTTAATAAGTATGTTGAGTGTAAGAAGACGACTGAAATAACGGACAATGATCGATCTTCTGTATCCATTTCTTGGCGGACCAACACGATGACAGTTTTCGATTTCATATGTTGATAAATTTAATCCGAGATGAGTATTTGTAAAATTTGTTATTTTATTGACAATGTTTTCATGTTGTTCCTCATCAAAGCCATGAAATCGTAATGTTCTGTTATAACGTTCAAGATCATCAATTTTGGATTCAATTTCACTTAACTTATCGCTAATTGTCTCTATCACCGGGTTCAATAGTGCAACAATACTTTCAGCAGAATCACCTACACTATTATTATTTGATTTAACAATATCAGCAATTGATTGTTGCAAAACAGGATCTGATTTAATCTTGTCAACCATTATTTGCTGAATATCTGTTATTAATGCCGGATTTAACGTCATTCGACCACATTTATTTGCAGGTCGAAGGCTGAGACTTGTTGTAGTGGACCTTTTTCCAGACATGAATAAAGGTATATATA